GACCTTTTATCGCAGTTCGGGGTTTGAAATGAATGTCGTGCTCCCCCAACTCTACTGCCCACTTGGAAATCCTTCCGGAGAGTTCCGCTTTCCTCAAGATCGCTTTCAAGGGCTGATCGGTAAGGACAGTGATTGGGTGCGCCTGGAAATAATGCCGCAGTTTTCTTGCAGTGGTGACCAGGGATAGAGCCAGTTTCTCTAGGGGTAGATATCTTGTCTCTGCGTCCAGGAGCGCCTTGCTTATATAATAAATCGGCTTCTGGCGGTGCTCATGTTCACGGATAAGTACCCCGCTTACCGCAAACTCAGATACTGCCAGGTACAAGAACAACATCTCCCCCTGGATGGGGACGGATAAGGTTGGAAGAGTCCTTAGGTATTCCTTGATTCCAGCCAGGGCGTCCTCGCACCCCGGCTCCACATATTCTTCCCAGCACTCTTGATTGCTCCGAAAAAGGGTTTGCATTTGTCCGAGGAGCGTGAGACGAAACGGTTAAGTGCAGCCAGCATCCCTGTGAGTTTCTGGACTTCTCGGACAGTGCGGGGGCTCCGGATGTCCAGGATCGCTTGAATCTGATCTGGGTTGGCTTCGATTCCTCGTTGACTAACCAGGTATCCGAGGAATTTACCTGATTCCACTCCGAAAACGCACTTTGCCGCATTCAGCTTCAGCCCATACTCCCTGAGGGTGGAGAAGGTATCCGCCAAATCTGTCAGATGATCACAACTCCGTTTGCTCTTACCAGCATATCGTCTATGTAGACCTCCATGGTGTTGCCGATCTGCTTTTTGAACATCCGATTCATCAGTCTTTGGTATGTTGCCCCGGCGTTCTTTAGTCCAAACGGCATCACTTTGTAACAGTAAACTCCCTTCGGAGTGATAAACGCCGTCTTTTCCTGATCCGGGGGATAGAGAGGGATCTGATGATATCCTGCTCGGGCATCCAGGAAGTCCATTCGTTCATATCCGGCAGTGGCATCTACCAGCTGGTCCACCTTTGGCAGGGGGTAGTCGTCCTTGGGACATGCCTTGTTTAGATCTGTAAAGTCTACGCAGACACGCCATTTCCCCCTTTCTTCTTTGCGCACACCGTATTAGACAGCCATTCTGGGAACTGTATCTCTCGAATGGCGTCGGCCTTCAGGAGTTTGTCGATTTCCTCGTTGACCGCGCTGGTGTGATGCGGGGCCATGCGTCGTGGCCTCTGTTTGACTGGCTTGTGCGACGGGTCAACATGCAGCCTGTGTGTGATTATCTCGGGGTCTACCCCCGTCATTTCCATTTCGTTCCATGCGAACACGTCTGTATTTCCCCTTAGGAACTCGATCATCTCCTCCTGTTCGGCTGTGGGCATCGAGGTCCCAACTAAGAAATACCTCTCTTCTTCTCCCTCCACCAAGGGCACCTTCCGGAGGTCTTCTACCGACCGCTCAGTTGGGTCTATCCGGGGGTCATCCATTCCTGGACGCCCGGACTGTAATTGCTATTTTTCCATAATCTCTTCCGGTGCTCGCCCTTCTCCTGGCTGAACGCCCCGGCTCGAACGGCTGAATAAAAACAATTTTTCGCGGACGCTTGGTCCCCCCGGATCTCCATGATACCTTCTGGCGTGGCGAATTTTAATTTCTGGTGGAAAGTGGAGTGCACCGCTCCCAACGCATGCAGCCATGTTCGCCCCATAATCACGTTGTAGGGAGAGTCCGTATCGATCACGACAAACTCGGTGTCGATGACAAAGGGACCTGTGACAACTGGCAATGTGATTTTCCCCACGGGCAGGGCGAACGAGCCGTTGAATCCGATGAGGGGTGTCCTGACTTTGGTGAGGTCTTTGGGGCCAAGACCCATCCGTTTTAAAGTTTCGGAGTACATCACCTCCGAGGAACTTCCAGAGTCTATCAAAATCCTTTTGACATCGAATTTTCCTATCCTCAGGGTCAAGACAAGGGCGTCGTTATGAGGAGTCACTACGCCTGTCAAATCCGCGTCGGAGAATGTAATGCCAAGCTCACCCGTCCTGGCCCTTTTACTTGGTGGCCCTACATCAACCTCGGCTACCTTCCTCGTAAAAGCTACCCTCTTGAGGTCGGACTCGAGTTCCTTGGACGTGGGGCGATCCAGGGGACATATATGGATGACATCTATGATGTTGTCCGGCTCCTCGGTCGGGGCAAGGGCTTGTCTCTCTTCTGGCCTGGGCTCTATGTACTCTTTCAAATATCCGTCTCGGACCAATCTTTCCAAGAACGATTTGAACACCCTGCAGCTTTCGGTGCGATGCCCGAAATCCCGGTGATAGGAACACCTAACCTTTTGATCACGGGTGGAGGGGTCGCTCTGCATCCTGGGCGGCCATTTGAAGAACGGCTCGTGCTTGATTTTATGGAGCAACTTGAAGATGGGTTCCTTGAACACAGTGTGAACTCCTTTGGACGAACCCCCTGGAGGGGGTAGCAATCCCTTTCGGGAATATCTTCCCGCTCCTTCTCTTTTCTCTTAGATTGGAGGGCTCGGCCTTTGCTGCTTCCCATCTCGTCCTCAATCCTCGAGTATTTGTTTATCCGGGCCATTAGTTCCCCCATATCCGAGGGGGTCTTCTTGGTCAGGGATCGGTACAGGTCCGTGTCCCTTGCCAAGCCGAGCCGGAAAGATGCTGCTGCCATGACCTCCGAGCAGCCTTCTACCTCATTAACCTCTTCCCAGTATCGGATGGCGTACTGGCGAAGAGTCTCGGATTCCCTCCGTCTGAGGGTCAGCAATGATCCAATGTCTTTGGGGCGCTTACTCCCCGTAATGAATCGAGCCAGGAACTGCTTAGTCAATTCCTTCCATGACCCAATACTGTTGGGGGAAGCGCCTCGAACCACTTCATCGCAGAGTCCCCCAAGCTCATAGGAAACACTCGGCAGAGAAACCGTTGGTCCGAATGATAGAGGGACATCATCTGCTTGTATTGCCTGACATGGGCTTCGGGATCGGACCGCCCGTCATAAGTTTTGAACCGCGACACGACAAACTTTCTTGAAACCTCCATCTCACCGATCTCCCTCGTAAAGGGTGTTTGTATGACTTCGTCCTCGGCCTCATCCTGGACAGCCTTACCCTTTCTCCTGGAGTCTAACCGGGCTCTGAGATCAATTTCTTCCCTGACGGGATGCCTTCTGAAGTCCTTGAGTTCATCGGTAAGCCCCTCATTTCCTGGGCGTCGTGTGGATTGGGTTGAGTCCTCCTCGGATTCATCTCCCTTCCTCCGTCTAGACAAACCTCGCCGGAGGTCGTCCAGGGCCAATGGCCTTGCTTTCCTTGAATGGTTGTCATGATGATGCTCGCCGGCTCTGGGTCGCTTTGGGGCCCTAGAGCTTTCTGCTTTGTTGTTTAGGTGGTTTCTTAGATCCTTCGTTTCTGCCTCCGGGCGGGAAGCCCACGAGAAAGGAATGAATCCCTCGATCCTTCGCCAGAGGCGGCAAACTCGTTGAGCCGGCTTAGGACGTTTACATTGTCCTTTTCCAGCTGTCGTAATCTATTGCCGAACTTTTCTTCAATCACCTCCGCCAGCTGACGAGCCAAGGGGGCTGATCCCCCTGACCTGATTCCCATACTGGTTTGAGGGGTAACCCCTCTTGACCGAGTAGAGGCACTTTTATTCATATCGGTGTGATCCCTTCCTCCGTGATGACAGGGAGCTTGTAACTCGAGACTCCTTTGGTGGGGGCCTTTCCCTTTCTGTCGAGTGTTCACCATGGTCACTGTTCTTTATAGAGAAAAAACTAGGAAAACTAGTCGTTTCCCATAGACGGCGCCAGATTGTGCGTGCAAGATCCTGCACAATATAAAAAATGAGAACAGATCTCTCCCTTGGTGAACTCGAGTGAGCCAGTTGAGTGACCAACCACGCTGCTTGGAACAGCCTGCGAGGTCCGGTGGTAACCTGGAACGGCAACGGGAGACCCTGGGGGAGCGGAAGAACGATCCAGTAAGGCTGAAAGAGGTTCCTGGAACAAAGAAGAACAAGTTAGAAGGGCGCCGGAGTGTTTTCCGGCGTATCCCCTCCGACGATCTAGTCAGTCTTTGAGAAAGAGAGAGGAAGGAGAAAACACTGAGTGTGTATTGTAGTAAAGAGTTTGTTGTTGCATACCCGTCTTGCCTTTTGCAAGGAGTATTTATACCTCAAAAGCTCATGATTGCTGTCAGTGTAGTCAGTAGGTGATCATTAGGTACAGGCAGTGTGCGCACTGATTCTGATGAGGAATGTCTTCTCTTCTTAACTGCTCGGGGCCCCGAGCAATCAATGCTGCGTCATCGGGATGCCGACGGTACAATATACTCCTCTCGGGGAGGATGCAATAAATGCTCTGTATTAGGAGCATTTATTGCCTTTCATTTCCGAGCCTTACCGCATTGAATGCAGTCTCGTCAAGGGAGTGGTGCAATTAATCGTTTGTGTTCCCAAGTCGCGTGTCAGCAACGGCATGCGGTTTTTCTGTTTTTGATGTGATATCGTATGCCACGCGTCCATCCCCCATTGGCTGTGGACCCTGCATTCCAGTACGTTCTGACACTAATTGTGTAAGACGAGGTCATGATGAATAGCCTAGACTAGCCTAGGCTAATGACCTGTACGTCAATAGCTTATCCTGGAGTAGAGGAGGCGTCCAGGACGGGTACACCTCGGCACCGAGGAAAGGCTCATCTCGGAACCGAGGGAGGGATACCGACCGAGGTACCATATCAGACCGAGGCTACGTGTTGGTTGTAAAACGTACTGAATGCCATGATCCTATATGACGAGTACCTCGGGGGCGAGGACCTTGTGCGCCGATGGTGCTTGATCTTAGCAACAGTGTTTTGGTAAATACCGAGGACACGTGTCTTCATCATGGAGTATTTCAGAAAAGTCCCATCAATCACCCAAAATACATGTATCTACGAATTTTAGAACATTGAATTAACCAACTTTCATATGACAATTTATTTTCTTTTGTGTACCATGTTTTGCAGGCTTTAGTTGCCTTATCCCAGGTAACCAAACAGGTTTTCAAGGGAAATCCATCTTTCTTCCCTATTAAGCCCATGGATTACGCACGCTTCCTAGTGATCTCAATCGGTACAGGCTGTGCAAAGGTGGAACATAAATACAGTGCAAAAATGGCAGCCAAATGGGGTGTTTTTCGTTGGTTACTTCATGAAGATTCCCCCCACTGGTAGATGTTTTCACTCAAGCAAGTGCAGATATGGTTGATTTCCATCTTTCTGTAGTTTTTGGAACTCTTGATTGTGAAGAACATTACCTTCGAATTCAAGTAAGCTAATCTCAAATTTCTTTCTCCATCTATTTTTGTTCTTTCAATCAATCAGAAAATATTAGTCGAGAGCTCCATGAGTTATGGTACCGGAAAAAACAAAACCACCTGGAAAGAAAATGCTCTCACAACAGGATTGAGATCATCTGTATTATACTTTTTTTTAACTCAATTTCATTCAATAAGATATTTTAGATTCAAGTTGGATCCACTACTTGTATGTGGGTCGCTCTCACTCCATATTTGGTGGCTGCTGACCTATCATTGAATGAAAGTATAATTTAGAGTATTTGGATCCATCAATAAGAGCATTCTCTAACTATTTTCGACTTAAGTGAGCTTTAATTTTTCATATGACTCTGATGATCTATTGAATGTCATGGCAGGAGGACACGTTAACTGGGACAGAATCCTCCGTTGATGTTGCTACAGAAGAGAACTTAAACAGACTTGTGGAGATTGGAGAAAAGTTGTTGAAGAAACCAGTTTCTAGGGTAAATTTGGAGACTGGTTTCACTGAGCCAGTCAACAATGGTGGCAAAAATGAGGATGCTCTAAAAAAGTATGGAGGCAATCAAACAATTTTTTTTGAAATTCCAGTTCGTTCTTGGCTACCAAAAATTATGGAAAAGACTATGATACAAGGGTTAATTTTCAAAATCATATCAAAAGATACGATTTAATTCAGTAAAGTTGTAATTCAATCAAATGAGGTTACAACAAAAATGGGGTCGTTTGAGATACATTAAATTTTTTGTCCAAAAAAAAAAGATAAATTAAATTTAGGGATCAATCTTAGTATTTCAAGATCATTCTCAACTACCCCAATTAGGTTGTGACTATCCTTTATCGAGTCGTAACTTTCAGAATGATATCCAATTTTGTACCTTAATAATTGTTCTCAAAGTTTGTTATTTCGGGATTAACCAGGCTCTTCTTGCATGTTACAGGTTTGCGAAATTGCTTTCAGATGAAAGGAAACTTAGACAGATAAATCACCTCGCTCCTACAAAGACTTAAAATAGGACAAACAGCTGAATCACCTTGTTCTATAATTGCACTAGTTGCATTGGTACTTTTCATAACCCCCCCCCCCCCCGCCCAAAAAAAAAAAAAACTTGTGGTGGGTGTTTTTACATTGGGTAATTCCTAATGTATTGAATAGGGCATTCCAACCTTCTTTTCCTAGTTATTTAAGATAGTTTCATACATCATTAAGGCAGTCTGCATTTAGAGAGTACACAATACAATTTCTGGTTCGCTGGACAAGTAGATCGGAGTATTACTTCTACTCGTGTGAAGATCAAGTATCCTGGGAAACATATGCTTTATATTCCATAAACACTGTGTGTGGAGGCGAAATCTATCTTAAGGACATAGTATCAAAACACTAGCCTTGATATACATAAAGGTCAATAGCAGTTCATGTTCTACAAACGGTTTAGTATTTATATTGTTTAAACAAACAGTTATGTGTAACTGTTTCGGTAAGACTGTTGTAACTGTTTTGTTAATTCTTCTGTAACTGTTTCAATTTTCTGTGTTACTGTTTCGTACTTGATTGTTACTATTTTGTTATACATTACATGTTTTAAAACTGATATTTTAATAAGTGATTTTATTATATTTAAAATACCACAAAAAACAGTACCAAACAAAGTATTAGGGTATGTTTGACACACCACAGCTAGGTGAGATTAAATTAAATTAGTCCAATGATCCATTCAATACTAAATTTTAGATCATGTTATAAAATCCGGTCGTAATCTCTTTAAAGTGAATCCCAAATATGCCAAAGCTATGCATCGATGCAATCTATTTTCCGTTTTTGAACTTGATGACATTCATTAATCTTCCATCAAGACATCAAATTAATATTAAGACTATATACTCACACCTAATCCAAATCTAAATCCAAACATGTTGATTTCTAATTTATTTTTCATAGAAAATACATTGAAAACGTTAATCTATCTAATAGAAAGTTGAATTCTCAACTTATAAAAGCACACTAATTGTAAAGATTGATTCAATCTTTATCTACATTGATCCAATGGTATAAAATTCATCACAAAAATTATTTTCAAGTTCAAAAACATCAACTTCTCTGCACGCCCCCAATGCGAGACAACTCAATCAACACACTCTCCAATATCAAACAATTTTATCAATCTGCACCTACTTCTCTCTTTATTTTAATTTTAAATTTCATAATTAAAAAACTAAATTATTATTAAAATACAAATATTACAAGACCAGTTCGATTTTTGGAATTTTATAGCATTTTCATACATGAGATTATTGTTAATACAATAGATACAAGCCATACAAACAATGGATATATAAGACAATAGAGAAACATTAAACAATTTGTGTTACATATAAGTCCCTCACATGCATCGTTAGGTGCCAAAATATAAATAGTTATTTCTGTGCATGATATATGATTGTTTCTCTATGTGGACTTCCTTTCTGGTTCCATGAAGCTAAGTAAATTTCATTGTGTTGTTTGTGGTATTCCAAATATTGTAAAATTATTTATTGAAATTTTTGATATTGTGTAACTTAGAATAAAATAATAACAGTTAAGTGCGAAACAATTACACAGAATATAGAAACAATTACAGAAGAATTAACGAAACAGTTACTCGTAACTGTTTGTCAAACCAATATAACTACTGACCTAGTTGCATAACAGGAAGTGTTATTGAACTTTATGTAGATCAATGCTAGTGTTTGACACTATGTACTTAAGACAGATTTTGTCCCCACACACGATAATTATGGAATATAAAGTGTCTGTCTCTCAGGATACAATGATCTTCACACGAGTAGAAGTAGCACTCCAATCTACCCGTCTAGCAAACCAGAAATTGTGTTGTGTACTCTCTAAATACAGACTGCCTTAATGATGTATGAGATTGCCTTAAATGATTATGAATGTATTGCATTTATTGGATGCAAAATGATTATGTGACTAGGTTATTTCTAGAGAAAATGGTGACTAATCCGGGTAGTCACCATATGAACTGATGCAACTCAGCCGTCACATACAGTCAGAAGACACCACTTGTGAAAATATTCTCTATGAACAGACATAACTCCAATTTCGGATTGGAGGGAAAGCAAAAAATTTGAACCAGTGTGAATTCAAATCCAACAGATACCGAAAATTAAATTCCAGATTAAGAAATTCTCGCTCATTTAATTAAACATTTTTTTCCCAAAAGAATATGGCTTGGCCTAACCCACACCCATAACCAAGCCTGGCCCGGCCCAAACGGGTCGTGGCGTGGCGAGGCAAGTGGCGCACGCACGTATGTTGTAGAACCGAAGGCATGTATCCGCTCGTTCCGCTCATAAAATTGTGGTACTCCTTGGGGCTCAATCACATAGAGAAATTTTTGGCCTAAATTTTGGCCTATATTTCTTCTTCAACCAATATGGGATTAGTGTCAAATTCCATATTACACAATCTTTATTTTCACTTTTCAAAAGGGTCACTTTAGAGTCTATTTTTTCATTCATTTCTTACTCGATTTGAGTAAGTGAATATATTACGTTATTCTCCTCATGGAATAGAATACGAGCCCACGAAAGTTGACTTGAAACAACGAACGAATCTCACTTTAATTTAGGCTCAAAATCAACCAAAAATTCAATTTTTACACTTAAGAAACTGTTTTGAGAAACTATTTTGGTCCAACACATTGTCACGTGACATATATATGATTTATTATGTAAACAGCACATCACTTCATTGTTTAGTCAAGAATCAAACAAATACAAGTTATAAAAAAACACTTATTGCAGTTTTTATATTGTTCACAATTCTTTTTCTTCCGGTAAGTGAGGAATTCATTATACGGAAAGAAATACATGTATACTAAACTTGAACCCAAAAAAAAAAAAGAAAAAAAAATTCTAACTTGCTCTCCTATTGTCGTTTTGCTTGGGTCGTAGCTACACCTTTTCGGCAGCAGCAGGGGGTTCAAGGATAAAAGATGAACACTTTGGAAGAGAAGGGGAACACAAGAATGGTTGTTCATTGTTCGACCGTCCAATTCGATACTCTTCTTTTTTGGTAAGTTCGAGTATTTCCTCTTACCAAAAATCTCACGAAATAAACAACAGAAGTGTAATTTTGCTTTTCCTCTAAGTATATGTCTTAATTTGTGATTCAAATCCTTCTTGGGACAATAACAGTCATTAGGCTCTTGGAACAACAATTATACAACAAATTTTAGAGACATAATAGTGAACAAAAGATCAAAAGTGTGGTCAGATTGACATATCATCAGTGATGACAAGTTTACAAGTTTTATTTATCTCCTCAATTCACCGATTGTAAATAAGTTCACAAGTTTTATCAAGCCTTCTGCTAATAATTCTATAATAATTAGAAGTATGTAAACACAACACCAGAATTCTACCCCAAATTGTGATCAATATCTATGGAGTGCCACACTTGCCATATGTCTAAAATATTAGTTCTCAAGTGTCTAAACATCAATTATGGGTTGTTCAGTTACCTTCTGGGAAAAAAAATTATGGGTTTTAGTTCTTTTTATTTTTTTGTTCAACGATCAGGAGTGTCTGGGTCAACTTACACGCACCTCAACTCCTCCTCGGTCCGGTCAAAGGTGAGTCATCTATGCTAGGATTAGGGTATTCATAAGAGATAAATTCATCACTACTTAGGCCCCCAAGGGATTGTCAAGATTATAACTCAAGATGTCTGAGTTTACAACACATCTCTGTAAGTTACCCTTTGGGGTTATGGGCTTTAGTTCAAGGCCAAGTCAATTTTGTTTAAGTCAATTCTGCTTAGGGCATTTCATAATCAGGAACAAATACAATATCCAAAAAAATCATCAAATTTCTAAATTTTGATATTTAATCAAGGAAGCAGATAATTACTCCATGATTTTCGAGCAAGAAAACTAAAGCACAAATTAGAATTGGTAATTTTTTTAGTCTGTTACACTCAAACGATGTTCATAAAAATATCAAAGATAGACGGAATGGGACCACTCAATGAAAGGACAACCACAAGATGCTTCACTGAAGATTCACGGGTTTAATATTGCAACAGAAATCAATAAATAATAGATATTTTTGACAATGTGACACACTTCGTCATATAATTTTTGATTAGTTTCATGCTTTATGTGCCCATGGTGAGTCAACCCAAATTAAAGAATGCCCAAAGAGACATGTCTTTTGGAGGTGTCTTTTACCACTAAAAATACATATCTATTAAATGTTAATAGACATGTCTCTATAGGACGTGTCTCTTAATGACATCTATTAGTTGCATATATATATATATACCCAAGGCAATCCAATATATTTGACATCTCTGATAATTAATCAAACGTTAAAGTCTTCTACTTTGTGTCTCTCTTTCCCTACATAACATTTGTAAGGCTTTTGTGCAGTAAAAAATATGACGTTGATTTGTCTTATGTAATAATACCATACTACTCGAGTAATTAAATAAAAGGCGTTGATTTGGATTCTAAAATATGTGGAACATTCTCAAACGGTTTTTTTTTTTTTGGGATTAAAGCGAATAAAGTATGTATTTGATCTTACGCTTTCGCAACATGTTATATGATTTCCAACATTGGTATCAGATCCATGAAGGGTGTTCTCGTACCTTTGGGATTAATTATCAATTGTTTAGAAATATTATTTTTGCAAAAAAGTTTCTAACGGGTTTTAATGG